TCCCGCCGCGGTGTCTGGGTAGAACCGGACTTGCTGATTCTGGTAGCGAATGTCAGTATTAGCCCTTGATGCGAGAGCAATAAGCTGTTTATCCTTGTTGCTGAGAAATCTCATTATTAATGTGCGTGGCGTTGCGGTGCTGTCCCTCCGGGGTCCAATTCGATGGGCTCTTTCCACGGTCACTGCTCCGACACCAAGGGCCTCCGGCAGCCACTTTTCCAGGAACTCACATGGATTTTGTCCTTCAGCTCCCTCCGGCAGGTTGACCAGCCTCAGGTTGTTTTGTTTCGATCTGGACTCCAGATCCATAACTTTATCTTCCAGATCTTTCTTCCTGGTCTCCAGCGTATCCATCTTAGCTCGTAGCGTTTCTATCTCATTCTCCGCATCAGAGATGCGTGTTTCGGTTTCTGTAATTCGCTGAGCACAGTCATTTATCTCTTTGCGTACACTGTCGATGGAGTCCAGAACTTCGTCAAATCTAGAGGAGAAGTCCTTTTGGATTGAGTTGACTACCGACAGTATTTCATCCACCTTGCTACTTTGAGATTTCGGGTTCTCTTCTTTGTCTGCGGCGGCCATTGGAGCCGAGCACGAGCTAGCATTAGCTTTCAGCACTTCGCCACGAGCATGATAATCCGTCAGTTTATGTTGTTTTGCTTTTTCACTTACTTCCTGGGATGTTTTTGCTGCTTTAGGCATTATTCCGATCACCCACGCTCACTGGCCGTTTAGTTCGTTGTGAAAGGGAAGGTATTTTGGTAAATTCTTTGACAAGAACAGCAGAGCGGTGGAAACGCGTCCTTTCACCTGGCCGCCATAACCAGAAGTCCGTTTTTATCTTTTTTAATCTTTTTCAAAATGTCTTTCTCTTTCTCACTGTTTTTTCAATGTCACATGCTGCTTTTATTTTAATTATGTGAAGCACTTTGAAATGCCTTGCTGCTGAAATGTGCTATACAAATAAAATTTGATTGATTGATTAATGTCAAAGAAAGACAACTAAGCAATTGTGGTGTTTCCATTAAATAAGAAATGCAATTAAAATCACATGTGAATAAGTTTGTTCACATAATAAGTCATTAAAAAACATGCTGTGCCATAATATTCCAATTTCTTCCTGTCGTTTTCTCTAGTAGCAACATCCAGTTGCTGATTGTGTGACTCGTGATGCAAAAAGAGTGTTTCCATTACAGTTTTGTGAAATAAACCAATTTTTATATTGCCACAAAAACACTACAACCTGGCCACAAAACCTTTTTATCAAAACACAAGTTTTTTCAAAATTGGCGTGTTTCCATTAAGCACATAAGAACATACTGCATATTTATTTACAACAGCAAGCTGGCAGTGAAACCTAAAAATTAATATCACTAGAAATGAGCTAATATATAAAATATAAAGCTAGATGTTGTTTAAATCACCTCTGTAATTGCCTGGATTGACGCTCCATATTTAACCAGCAGCTCCATCACCTTTACCCGGTTCTTTTTACAGGCTATGTGCAGTGGAGTGAAGCCATTCTGTGGAGGAAGTGTGACAAGCAACAGTACATACAGCCATGAGGTACATTTCACCCATACATTGTAAATCTGCTACTTGCTGAATCTTTCCTCTCTGTCTTTCTAACCTACCAGAGCCCTGGCGTTAGGGTTGGCTCTTTTATCCAGCAGCAGTTTGGTGACTTTGTAGTGACCACAGTGAGCTGCCACATGCAACGCTGTCAGGTAGTCCAGTGTGACGTCATCAACAGGAGCCTTGTGCTGCAGAAGGTGTTTGACGCATTCGACATGGTCACCTTGTGCTGCCATGTGCAGTGGGGACAGCCCATTCTGAGAGATGAACAAGTGATTAAATAGAAAAGAAATGTCATGAGATGAATCGTTTCTCAGCAGCCAAGAGTCCAGACCTTCTGGATGGAGCAAAGCGTAGAACCAGGGGCTCCTTTCTACTATCAGGCTTCATCAACATACAAGCACGAGCAATAACTCTTTTCTTGACTTAGCATTGCTTTGATGTCTTTAAGATCTTCTTCTATTGAATTTTACTCTTATTTTGTGGACATTATTGCCACCTGGGACTGTGACTTGGGCAATACAGCATTGTTGATCCTTTTTAGATAGAAGATTGAAATTATTGTTCGACAGTGGGCTAATTCAACACTTGTTTCCATCTCCCCTTTAGGACATTAACTATTTTTCGGAAAAGTCAAAAAGAGGTGAGTTAGATGCTCTTTAATCATGCATATATACTTTTTTTTTTGCGAAATTAAGGAAATTATTTTGAATTTTGCTGTTTGTGCATACAAAAATGTTGACTGAAACACGGTTAGAGTGAAGAAGCTCTCCTGTTCCACAACAGCTTCATGGCTTTTTATCATTTTTGATGAAATCCCAAAGACTTTATTTGGAGAGGTTTGGGTTGATATTTGATTCTGTGTGATCACAACAGACCCGAAAGATAAGCGTAAATACAGTGTGACCCACCTTGGTCCTGGCCAGTAAAGGGGCTCCTCTCTCCAGCAGTAGCTCCACAGCTGTCTCATGTCCACTTCGAGCTGCACAGTGGAGGGGGGTCAGACCATCCTGCATCACACATTGGACAGAAATGTCTCAGTGTGACATCACATAAAATATTTGCGTGACTGTGCTCTGTAAGAGTCTAGAGAGGTCAAAGGCTGTCCCTCTCCAATATGGCAGAAGCCAGGCATTGATCAACTTTAACAGTTGCCTGTCTCATCATTTCCCTGTGTTTTACAGAAACATTTAATCTGTTTGACAGGCTCAGATACTGGGTCTGTTACATCAGCATACAAAATGCTGCAGAGATGTTAGCTTAGGATTATCAACTCAGTCCAACTATGGATAATGACTTAACCTAAAACAGCTGCTATAAAACTGTCAGGTGGTTCAGTTCAGATGCTGCCAGAGACTGCATGATGTTTCTACATATTACAAACCAAAAAGAGCTAATAACATGCATAACCAGCTGGGTTAAGATTCAAAATTTAATCCACTGCTGTCCAGATAGACTGAAAAACATTTTTTTGGCTCTAGTGGCCTTTAATTGACAGGAAAGTGGGTAATGAGAGAAGGGGGAGGACATGCGGCAAGGGTCACCAAGGCTGGGAATCAAACCTGCGACAGCTGCGTCGAGGACTAGGGCCTCCATATGTGGGTTGTTCTTAACCCCTCCGCCACCACAGCATACCCCCAACCCCTCGCCTCTGGAATGAGCTACCTTGCACCATTCGATCTCTGGATTGTATAGACACTTTTAGGAAACAACTTAAGACCCACTTTTTTAAACTTGCTTTTTAGCGTAATAACTTGTTTTATTGTTTTGTATGTTGCTTTTAATTTATTTATTTTTACATTTTGTACAGCACTTTGGTCTGTGAAAAGTGCTATAGAAATAAAGTTTACTTACTTACTTACATTTTTCACATCTGCTGTAAATACTAAACTTTGTTTACTACTGCTAAAATGTTACTGGAGTTCCCTGGAATTCTGAGAGAAGGAATGAACCTGAAAAGCTGGAGAGCAGTAAGGAAAGGATGTTCATCTGACTGGTGATACAGTCAGGAAGGAAACAACTTTGTCTTTGGTTCTGTGTCTGTGGTACCAACCCGTGTTTTAGCATCGATCTGAGAGCCCCGATCCAACAATAGGCGAACCATGTTGGTGTTGCCACGTTTAGACGCCACATGTAAAGGAGTTATTCCATTCTGCAGGAGAGAGGACAGGTTTAAGAAGGAGAATCTGACGGAAAAATTAAGGGCTTAAGGGTGCCAAAAATTTTCAAATTTTATTATCAAAACTGTATTAAAATAAAATTAATTAAAATCTAAACTTTTTTAGATTTTAATTAACACAGTTGTTAATTAATGTTGTCAATTTTTAAATGGCACTTTGAATCTGATAAATGAATCTCAACAGAAAGCATTTTTGTTAAATATAACTATTTATTGTATATAAAGTAAACTTAATCTGAGTATGTCTATGACCATGCTGTCTTGGTATGGATTTTATTATATTTCAATGTAATTTCATATTAATTGGAACTGCTTGTCTCTATTGAAATGAAATTTGATTTTTTGCGGTGTACAGTATGTGAATTGATACCAAACTAAAATGATTTTTAAACTGTTTTCTTTGAGTAAAAACTCGGTGGTGTAAGATCTCACCCTGGCTGTGAAATCCACAGCCGCTCCACGGTTGAGTAGGAGAGTGGCCACATTGACATTTCCATAGTGGGCAGCAATGTGCAGCGGCGTAAATCCACTCTGGGACACAGACATGAAGAATAGAAAAAGACAAAAAGGAAAACAAAAGTAAACATCAGTTCTGCCTCCAGGTTCTGCAATATTGACCCTGAGTGGCTTCAGGCTTCCCAGCATGCAGTGGTCACTTCAAGCATCAGTTATCAACAAAAAGTAAACTGGAAAAGAGAACACCCCCAAAAAATATATACAAGTCACACATGTAACAACTACAAATAATTTGGAAAGACAAACTCATTTTTCATGCAAGGTGAACATTATAGAAATTAAGACCTCCTCCTCCAAAAAGCTAAACAGATTGTCATCCAGACTGAGATGAAGATGGACAAAAACATTATCTAGTCAAAATTACAAGCAGCTAATAATAAAACTTAATAGATGGCACAAAGCAAAATTTATGGTTCCCATTAACACCAGTGCACTATGTTGACAGTACATCATAGAGTGATTAGAGCTAGCAATGAGAAATACATGGGGAAAGTTAGAGATTGCAGAGCAGGTTGGAGGAGTTGTGAAATTCTTGCCTTACCTTGCCATTCTGTAAGTGTTGGTCCGATTTAATATGAAAAAGTTGTTTACAAGAGTGTGGAGAAAACAGTGACTAACGAGATGGTTTCAAACATTACACAGTTAAAAGCTTAGAATGGTGCAAATTAAAGAACTGTGGATGCATCATGCTCCTCAGTGCAATGCTGTTAGTCAAAATAAATGAAGCCGGGTATTTACATACACTGGATACATTTAAATGTTATTGTCAATTAGGGTTACCAACATCATTTCTATTTGATAAATTCCAGAACGTGAGATTGTCATTACATTCTTCAAGGTCGAAATCTTATGTGCCTCTAAATTGTTAATGCAAACCTGGATGATGATGTTATTTATGGACTCACAAATTCAATTAACTTGTGAGTCTCTCCAAAAATCTCCAATTAGAAAGTTTTATTTGCCATGAATAAATTAAAGTTTTGCCGCTCTGTTCCCAGCAGTTGACTTCTTGTAAATGTGAACCGCAACAAGCCTGGATAAGCAGCTCAGGATGAGAACCAGAGACGTCTTCCCCCCCGAGGCCGGGACACTGGTGGTGGAAGCCAAAGAGAGGATGAAAGCCTGAATGAGGTGGGAGAACAAGAGTGGAGAAGGGGTGGAGTTGGGTTGAAGCTCAGCTGGTGAGCAGAGAGAGCCACGGATGGAGGGCCTTATAAATGGAGACTTGCTCGATGATTGGTTACAATGAGGAATGGTCCGTTGCTGATAGGCTGTGGTAGAAGCGCATGATGCAGTGACTGGATGATGCAGGTGAGGCTGAAGAGAGACTTCCAGTTTGAATTTCTGCCTAGGCTTCATTTCACAAAATTAGATTTCAGTGGAAAGTCAGTTTTAAACAAATATATGCAAGAATAAACAGCATGCGGACATTCAACCACAAGGTCTTTCAGAAAGGAGAGGAGTTCTGTTCCACAGATGAACGGATTCTGGTGGGAAATTTACAAATCAACTCCAGAACAAAAGGTGGTAAAACTGCTAATGAGGCTGTTAAGAGAGACCTGTAGCAACCTCAGCTGAAATGTCACTCAGACAGGAAGAAGCCATTGCTCAAAAAGCAGCATAAAAAGTCAGATTTGCAAATTCACTCAGACGAACCTTTAGTTTCATCAGACCACAAGACATGTCTTGAAAACAAAAGTTGAAGTGTTTTTTTCATTATAGCAAAAGTTAAATTTGGAAGAAAAAACAGGAGGGGTTAGAAATTGAACAAGATGAAGATTATATGAAAATACTTAACCCTTGTGTGTGTGAGGACTGAGGCAAACGTAGAGGACTATGGCAATTGATACACGTTTTACGTGTGTGGGGTCAGTTGGACCCCATTTATGCATACAAGGGTTAAGCAACATCTGAAGATATCAGCCAGGCAGTTAAAGGTTGGATACAAATGTGTCTTCCAATTGGACAGTGACTCTAACCATTTAGCCAAATGTAAAGAAATTTAAAATTGCTGTTATTTTTCTGGCATTTAGCAAATAGATACAATTTCAGGAAAAATTTATTGTGAAAAAACGGTGCTGTTGTTGCACGCAGTGTATGTAAACATCAGGTTTTAAAGGGATCCACGATTAGTTGTAACAATAGACTTTATATGAAAAACATTTATTTTAGATGTTAAATCAATACAGTAATAATACTGTAGACCGTTATGAATTTTAATATTGTCACACGGATGTTGCCATGGTGTTTACGCTGCAATGCATTCTGGGTAAATGACATATGCTAGCTCCAATTTTGCTAACTCCATCCAGTCAAAACAGCAACAAGTAACCTTGTTGACCCTTTTCAATTTGAACCAGAGCGCATTGAAATTGATGGGAATGTAGAAATCACAGTGAAGATGAGGAGGACCAAACAGATGAAGAGGCAGTTAGCCAGAAAAGTTGGTGTTTGTGATGCTGCTGCTGCCTTCAGCTTCATAAATGAAACAATGAATTACATGACTCTCTGGTCCAGACTGTGTGATCCAGTAAGTGGTACTAAGTAGCTCTGTGTTGGATCCAGTCTTCAGTCCAGTAACACCTGGTTAGGCTCTGGTCTTTGGTTCGGTGTTGGGTCTGTGGTTTTACATTCGGTACTGGTGGCAGTGGCGATAGCTTCTTTACTGTTTAAAGGAGCTTGCAGTGCTGCCTGTTTCTGATGTTTCTCCCAGTATTTTTGTCTTGCTAGCCGGTGCCAGAGTTTAGACAATTTGTGGATAAAAACTGTCAGGACGACATATGTTTTTAGCTTGCAAGGGTAACAACCACCTGTTAAATCTTTCATAAATTTTGCTTGTACACATGATTCAAACTCTTCTGGAGAGAAATGTTGAGAGCACAAATGCGAGTCCTTCGGAAGTTGTGCTCAGCTCTTTCCCACTGTGCTCTTCTTTTTTTTTTTTCATGTGGGAAGCAGTCCAGACTCACCTCACTATTTTTTCTCTATTTTAATTACAGCCAACAGCGACGCTGTGAATTTTAATTTACACCAATCATAAATATAGTGATAAAACTAGTGATAAAAATAACTACAGTAAAGACAGAGCTTCCTGCATTTCCAGACCAAACCAGGTCACCAGCCCACCATGCATGGCACAGATGAAAAAATGGTGACCTCCATGGGTGAAAATATAATGGAAAACATAAATATTTTCAGGTAATTGTGAGTTTTGACACATCATAAATAGCATTTTTTAGCTAATAGCAAAATTGCAACATATTTAGGCCAACATGTTCAACTAATTGTGGATCCATTTAAGTGTAAATGCTTTATTCACATTAAGTGTCACATGTCTCCTATTCAGAAAACAATAACAGCCTATGTTATTTTCTCATTTTCTTTAAAAAGTAGAAAATAATAAGTAAAAAGTATTTTAAAAAGAGGTTCTATCAGTAATCTTTTAAATGTGAATGACCAGGGCTGCCAATATAACAACAGGGTTGAGTTTTGAATGTTGCTGTGCTTTAATCTGTGAAAAAGAACAGGGTCTTTTCTAGTTTCCAGACTGCAGTGATGCAGAACAAAGAGTAGTTTTACATCCTATTTAATGGAGTACATTTTTACACTTTCAATGATACTGTACCTTTAAAGCCAATCTCTTGTTATTATGCTTTAAACTTGATGATGGTGGCTGGGGTTAGGCCTATATCCTAAAATGTACTCAGCTGAACACAAAAAAATAACAAAAGAACAAATAGCGAGATTAGAATACCTCCAGATAACAAAGTCAGCAGACACAATCCACTGTAGTTTGTGAGAGATAATGAGAATAGCAAAATGCTAACAGGACTTTAACTCTGCTGTCCTTTCCAGAGCATCAACACAAATGAAGTGGGACATGTTGATCACAGATTACCCAGAGACATCATCTTGAGTGGACAGACTTTATGCTACAAGAATGTCTTCCACTGGAACCTAAAGAATGCTAAAGTCCTACTGTTACCATGGAAACCACCAACTAAGGTTGGCCTTAGAATAAGGCAACTATTTGCATAATTTATTTATGTTTAACTTAATAAATCTTAGTGAGTTGTAATTATATAATGAACAACCAAAGTCAAGTTTTTATGAACTAGAAACTACCTAAAAAAATACTTGATTGAAACAGTTCCTGGCTACTGCTTGGTTTTTGTTTCTCTGCTCAAAACTTGGCAGAAAATATGGAAAGCACTTTTTTCAATAGAACATTTGCAAGGCTACACCATCAGGCAGAGTGGGGTGGTCATAAATTTAAATTTAATTTAATTATATATCATGAAAGTCCAAATTTTGTACCACAAATCCATATTTCGTACCACAAACAAGCAAGGTGGTATGACAATGAAAAAAAATATCCTTGAATAAGAATGAGTATACACTCATTGTGATGTTTCATACAAATGTAAATGCTAAAAACTAGCCAATAAGTGCTCTGCTGCGCTGAAAGTAGCCTTATACTTGATGAACTCACGTTTTCGCCTTAAACATCTTAAAAATAATTTTGGTGACCAATAAAAAAGTGGTTTAATAAATTGCTGCTGGTGGCACAATGCATTGTGGGATACTTTGCTGGCCAATCCCTACTGTCACATATAAATCAATGTCCTAAAAATATCAATTATTGCAACCCATAAAAACAAATGAATTCATGTTGTGTAATTTAAAATTTAAATATTACGAATAACTTTATAGATTTTGGTTAGCTCTACATAAACTACAAAGTCACGTTAATGACTTCTGCTAGCTGAAAATTGCCTTTACTTCAAGTGACAACTGGTCTGTTGGTGCCTGGGAACTCTGATGGTTTATGGGTAGTATTTGGTGTTTTGAAATACTGAATCAAACACAAAGTTCATTGTTTTGTGGATGAACTTAAGAGTAATAGAAAATTTGATTTTAACTCTTTCATTTTAAATTTTTTTTAAGGTTTTGTTGGTTCTAGTGGCCTTTATTTGAAAGTAGATTGACATGAAACAGGGTAATGAGAGAGGGGGAAGACATGTGGCAAATGTTGCCAGGCCGGGAATTGAACCTACAACCACTGACATGAGGAATAAGGCCTCAATATGTGGGTTGTGCTTTGCCCCTGGACTACCACAGCACCCCCTATTTCATTTTAATTTTGTCTCAGTAAGGATAAGTAGTGCTTTGTGTATATAAATGTTTTTCTTTAATGTTTGTTGTACTATAAGTGTGAGAGAGCCTGAATACTTTCTCGCTTGCTCTCGATGAAAGTGGACACTTTTTTCCTCTGCTCCCTCCCTGCCCTTGTCTGCCCTGCTTGCTCTGTTTTTGTCTTTTTCTATATTTTTGGAGCCTTTCTTTGCACATCATCCAAATCTACAAATTATGGATCTGGTCAATCGATCTCTCAACGCAATTGATAAAATTTTCTACGAGAAGTCTGGGCACAGGAGAGCCCTCTTGTCCTGTGGGGACACACCCGGCAGGATTCACCCTGGATTTATTCATGATAACAGGATTTCTGCTGTTTGGAGTTTACGGATACCTGGATTATCGACAAATTTA